TCAATTTTTTTAAACACCCATAATTTTAAATGTCAGATATCTTGTACTATTAAACAAAACCGCACCAGAAAAAACAAAAGCTAGGCTGATAAAACAAACACCACAACATTTATTTATTAACCTTAATTACACAAATAATTAAAAACCAGTGTACAGTGAAATTAGGAAATAATGCTAATCCATGTTGCCACTTTCTGCTAGAGAGAATTTTTCTATTTGCGGAGTTAGGACCTGACCTCCGTTTCCTAAATGAAACCTAATTCAATCATATACTCACTCTTTTGTGTTATGTCTTTTCAATGTTACTCACTAAACTGGATAATTACAGAGAATAAGAGGCAGCGTTGGCCCAGCCCCAGTCCCTAGAGCCGTTCAGCTGTCAGACCTAAAACCGTGGGGCAAAGTTGTGAGAGAGGCGGTTGCGGAGGTCAAAGCTTTGGGCCAAATCTGAACCAGCGAAAAGCAAAAGCCGTATTCAGATGTTTTTCCCAGACCTCTTTCTTTTCCATCTTTTCTTTCTCTCCCTCCGCCACTGCAAAAAAAAGGAAAGCTGCAGCATCTGAAAATCGGCCAGTTCGGGTTGTACGAGGCCCCAGCGCTGCAATATATTTTCAAAACAACAGCATCCTACACTGTCCCACGAAAGCTTTATTGGCAGGGCTATTTCAATAGACGAGTTTCCGTTGTAAGCATTCGGACTGTACTGCTTTTTCACTTAGGGCGTCTTCCCTAAATGCAATAGGCCTGGTCTGTTTCCTTTCAAATCTCCAAGCCCCTGTAGATTTATTTATTCGTTTTTATAAGAGCATCATCTAATCTTATAATCTGAAAGAATGGTCAACACTATTCATTTTGTGAGATGAGCTATGGTCACAGGAAGGGTCAGATAATTGCTTTTGTTTGTTATTTAGTTTAATTTGTGCAATGCTGAATGGGGTTGTGCCTTAAAATCACAACCTAAATCATGTGTCTTTTTAGGAAAATATTTGTCCATGTAGTAATTTAGCCCTTTACAAACCAAATGAAAAATGTATGTGATTTGAAGAAATACAGGGTGAATCAAGAGTATTGTGTGAACTGGGTCTCTGGGTCAATAGATGAACAGGTAAGGTCTGTAACTCTATACATGTAACAGCACAATGTTTACAGTATAGAGAACAGATCAGGGTTTGACTATAGCTCTACCTGTCTTTGTTCATTACATAACCACATCTGATAAGTTTGCATCCCTTGTGCAGCTCAGGATATTGGACAAAGCAGATAAGATGTGTTTGAGGGATTATTTTGACGTGAGGAGGCGTTAAGTCCCTGGCTGTCCGTCTTGCCTGGCTCCCTGTTGATTCCCTGCTTTGTTCGGCTCTATTAAAACACACTCTGCAGACTATTTGTAACGTTAAGAGCGATGGCTACGACATGCTGATGGGTAAATGAATGTCTCACAAGCCCAGAGTTGGAGCCTGTTCGCTGTGACTTAAAGACAACTAATAAGAAAACAAGAGCTACGGGAAATTGTAATGAGTAAGTAGTAAAAGAAATCTCGAAATATGACTATTGCAGAGACCACACAAGTCAATGTGGTCAATGCACAATGACGAGCCAGACATCACTTTGGACCACAACCCAACTATTATTATCAACAGCCACAGCCTAGTTAAGTAGAGTAGTTGTTTTTACAGCGCTTAATTTCATATTCAGTCTAATTTCATACATGATGCGAGGCGTGAGTGATATGGCAAAAAATAATAGGATGATTTTCTTGGAACTATAACACGATTTTGATTTTATCTCGATTCCTATAAGCTACATTTAGTTTTTTTCTATTGCCTTCGAACTTCACTGTAATAGGTTAAGTCCAGCTGTCACACACTCCTTACAGAAAGCATTATAGAGGTGACCAATAGGAGAAGAGGGTGAGGAAGTGTGTGTGTTTGAGCATAGAGCTGCATTAAATAGAGAAACACTGAATCACATTATGACGATATCAGACCGTTACAATAATGATGAGATCACAATTAGATTTTTATTACCATATGACCCAGCCCTACTTTCATCTAAATAAATATAATATTAAATGTCTATACCAAAGGGTTAGACCAAGCGCAATTATGTTAAGAAGACATTTTTTTTTCAGGTTATGATGCTAACATCAAGATACAAAAGTGAAAATTAAAACCTGAATTTGTGACATCAGTTACAGTTTGGCGGGAGTGAACTGGGAAAGTTTTAGAGCCATGCTACAAATGGGTTTGACTGACTGGGGTAAAGTGATAGGTGCGTGTGGAGGCATGAAATAAATACATCTGCTGCAAGGTATTTGTCAAAAGGAAAAACACTGCAATGTTTTGTTTTTATTTTCCGCCGCCGTGGAGCAGAAGCAGAAACACAGGGAGCAAGTCCAGCTCAGTCCAGCCTCAAACCGCTTTGATGTGTCCCTGCTCTAGCTGCCCTGCCTGTGAGTCCAGGCTATAATTGGACAAATGTAGAGCCACACACACACACACACACACACACACACACACACTGTACTGCAGGGAAACAGAGAAGAAGCGGGTTGGATGTCCTGCCCTGTCAATCACACATCACATGAAAGCTTGGCTCACCCCAGGCCTCTGCAGCTGGGTTAGGCCCGTGGTGACATCAGTGGGACGGGGGGCACAGAGGAGGTGGGATGGGACTGGAGGGGTGAGTGAGGAGGCTGAGGTCCAATCGCGTGCAACCTGACAACTGATAGCTTCCGCGAGACACCGCACGATGATGAGCTAAGAATAAAACTGTAACGCTGCCACTGCAAGGGTCAGAGCAGAGCCGCTACGTGTCTGTCCACTGTAAACTCTGCCTCACCCTGGTTAACTCTCTGAAAATAGTGTAAAGGTAGCCACTGTTTACATGATTTACCTTATGGCTAAAGAAATATGTTACACTCTATCATAAAATAAGCTATGATAAGGATAAGGTCTGATTGAATATTGAATAGATTTAAAAGGTTTAGAAACTGTGCAGATAAATAAAAAATGTGTTTAAAAGTTAAATAGCCTGAGTCATGCGTGGCAAAAAGACACAGTAATAAAAATATTAATTTAAATGCACAAACAAAGCTCAGTCGCCTCAAGTTTTTAAACCATTTCTCAAACACTGGACTTGCCGCTGTATTGAAGTAAAAGATTTAACAAATGTCTCAACTGAAATCCAAAAAGTAGTCAACGTAACTACAACAGAATTTCAAGATTCACTGCAGAAGGACTAGCTGCGGTCGTGAGTGGAGCTGAAATCCTGGCAAAGAGCAAAAAGGGCTTTACTCGGAGGGGCACCAGGCTGCGCTGGGAGCTAATCTGAGCGGCGGTTTGGCCCCAGAGCATTGTGGGACAGGAAGAGGCGCTCACCGAGTTACACACAGGGCTGAAAGGAGCCTGGCATGGGGCGCTCTGTCGCAGAGGAGCCCTGCACCTCTCTGCCAAGGAGCAGCATTAAGGGCTGTAACTGTATGCCAGTGGTAAGAGGAGCAGGATAATAGCCGCGCTCGCTAACTGTCTGTGAGCGTTTGTGTGAGGGGAACAGTGCTTACACCTGCTACGAACCACAGAGCCACAAAACACAGCTCCTGCTGAAAAACAATATGGCAAAACCCCGTGCACATTTATGCATACGTTGTACACATATTTGATGGTAAAATGTATATAAAAAGGCCTATAATATTGTACTGTGAGAGATGGAAATTTGCAAGTTACAGTGGATAATAATGCATCATTTTAATAAAAATGCTAACACAAATTTAAAAGCTTTGAAAACAATTGTTAATTATTTAAAATTCTAAAACATCAATACAATATAGTGTTAAAGTGGAACAATTTTGACTATTAAGCATTAAAAATGTAAAAAAAGTAAACTGTACTGAGCAGTTTATGGTGTGTTTTGCGTTTTAGGCAAATACATTTACTGGCTTTACTTTCATATATTCAGCGCGCCTGCCTTTTCGCTGCTGTAGTGTGTGTTCGTTCTGGAGAGTTTTTCCGAGCGGCTCGATGTGGAGGCAGAGGCAGAGCTCCACACACAGAGCCATGGGCGCCTTCACACTCCCTGGGACAGGGCCAGCTTTGGGCTGACTCTCAGGGTACCTCAAAAGAAGCTCCACTGCTCACTGACGTCCCAATCATTACACTGCTAATGGAGATGTGCTTTTTCCACATACAAACAAACAGGTTTGCAGATGCTTTTGTTGACACATGGCACAGGGGAACATCGGAGCTCGGATTTAGACAAATTTGCACACAAATGCTTTAACAAATGTGGCGAGGCAAACATATCTCTAAGTAAACACAGGTTTGCGAGACGTGCTGTCAAAGTCTGCTGGATCTTTTTTGAGCAGATAGAAATGGCGACGAAGGCTCGAGATGACAGCGTGGTGTTAAACGCAAAGATGCAGCGCTTATCGGAGCCCTGAGCACTGTTTGTTGTGTTTATCGCCGTTTGGCACAAGATCTGCTTTGAGCTTTATCAAGGCCAGGCTTGGCACGGGGATCGCGGAAGTGTATGGAAAGTAAATAAACTATGGCTGCATGATATTAGCAGATAAAAGATGCAAAAAGGGTATCGTGAAAAGTGCCATATCTGTGGAAGAATTTGTACAGTTGTATTTTGACTATTTCTAAAGTACACAATATGTGAATCAGAAAAAAGTAGAGATGTTAGACATTAGAGACAAAACAAGTCACAACTAAACCATTATTTACATAAAAAAAAACATTATAACATAACATTTAAAAGTTTTTTAGCCACTACTGACTATTTTGATTCAATTGTTTCGCAATAATTTGTAGAATATATGTACCATGCAAAAAGCCATAAAGGAATGTGGCTTGTGAAAAGCATTTATGACATCTTTCCCCTCACACTCTTCCTCCCTCACCTCACCTGCCTTTATTTTCTCTCTATTCACAACACCTATGAAAACTGTGAATAAATAGCATAATATAGAAGCCTAATGCAGACTAGCTAGTGCGTACCTGGTGTGTGGACGAAGTAGGCCAGGTAGAGGTCCAGCTCTTTGACCGTGACTCCGATGTGGTGTGGCTGGACACACAGGCCGTGGTTGGAGCACTGGGGCGACTTGACCAGGCGCTCTCCGTCCGTGCTCTCCAGAGGGCTGCCCTTGAACAGAATCACCATCACCAGGTCCAGCCGCCACACCTTGTCGGCCTGGCGTAGGCAGTCGATGCGGCGGATCTTGCCCTTCTGGTCGGGGTTGGACAGCACGCAGCAGGGGGGCTTCTTCCCCGTGATGGTGAGCACAAAGTCCTCGCGGAACTCTGGCCGGATGTCCTTGCGCAGCTTGGCCAAGAGGCGCGAGGCCCACTTCTGCTTGATCTCTGGCTTCTCCCCTAACAGCTCGTCCTTCACTGCGCGCTCTTCGTCCTTGGTCATCCTCTTCTCGTGCTTCTTGAAGTATTTGCGCTTGCGAGCCTGTAGGTTGAACCAGGTGTAGGAGAAGGCACGGACATGTGGGAGGAGGGCCTCAATGAAGGGATGAAATTCATCCTGGAGAAAGATGACAATAACATTAGTGTAACATTCAGTTAGGTCTTTTGAAATCAAATTCTAATTATAAATTTAGAATAAATAATAATAAATAAATAAAATAATAAAACAGTAAAAACATATTTCTAAACATATATTCTAATAACTGTAAAGTTAGATTATTTTTCATGCAGAACCAATAAAATATCAAAAACAGAATGCACAATTAAAAGTTTGGAGCTCTTGTCTCATTCATTCATTCATTCAAAATGACAACATTGTATAAAATTCCAGTATAGCATTACAGCCTTTAAGCGTAGAGTAAAATAGTATATAGTTAACATTATATTATATACAGACAGTGTTTCTTAAAAGTTGTTAAAAAATAAAAAAAAACAATTTGTTTAATCCAAACTGAAATAAACTTCATAAAACACACACAACACACAGAAAATGTACATGCAAAAAGAAAGTGCTGAGCCGAGGTGCGCTCCCACTTTTCTGTCCAAAAAGCAAGTTATTCATCAGCGCTATAATACCTTCACTACATATCTCTGGGCAACAAAGCCCAGATCTCGCCACAGCGTTCCTGTGCCAGGGTTGCCACACACCGGTCGCTCACCACCGCCAAGCTTTGCCGCCACAAGACCACTGTTGAAATGTGCTGCTAAAAGATCAGCCATACCATTTCCCTATCTGCGCTACCATGCAAGGGGAGCTCCAACCCGACTCACATATCCGCAACAAACTGAATGTAGACACAAATCACCACAGAAAACCACACAGCAAGAGGAAGACAGACGGCCTGGTAGTTACCATTTTGCACTCTCATCATAAATTTGGCACAGCGTTTAAAGTGAAAAAAAAAAATCTCCTGCACCAGTTTTTTTTTTTTTCGTTTCCTCCCGCGCTCCCCAATGTAAAGCAAGTGTTGGTTTGGCAGAGTGTGAAGAAATACCAGATGAAAAAAAAGTTGGGGATTGTAAAAAAAAAAATAATTAGCTGAATATGCTGCTCACTAGAAAGAGTGGGCCAAAGTAAAGAGAGAGAAAAAAAGATTTCCCGGAATGGGCAAATTCACGTTTTGCTGCAGCAGGAACCCGGCCAAAAACTCATTAGACAAAAGCACAAAATAACAAAAAGAGGAGAGGAAAAAAAAGCAAAATAAAATTCCCAAAAAATTCCAAATGTTGACAATATTGTGAAGAGGCAAAAAACTTCAACAACGGGAAGAGATAAAGTAAACAGTCCTTTGCGCTTTCCAAAAATAAAAAATAAAAAAAATTAAAAGTAAAAAAAAAATCCTTGGCAAAGCGTAATTTGTGGTGTCTGTTCTGATCCCTGGGCCGGCACAAGGCTCACACACACTCACACAGCAGCACACACACACAGATGGGGGGGCCAGGGAGAGCAGAGCACAGAACAGGGGAAAAAAATACAGAGCCGAATCAATGTTGGACGAGCGCATACGACCGCTGGCAAAGCCGAGTGCCGCTTCTTTTTTCCCCTTTTCTCTCCAACTCTCTCTCTTCCTCTTTCTGTTTCTCGCTCGACGTCTCTCGTCCTCTCCGCGTTCTTTCCCTAACCATTGCTTGAGTCTTTGCCAACACGCGTAGGGCCCACCTATTTGGCAACAAGATGCCTGTAGCCCAGCCAATGCGTTAGCTTCAAGAGCTGAAAGGGAGGGAAAAGAGAAAGAGGGTGGGTGACGAGGGGGGTGCTAGTGGCAGAGAGAGGGAGAGAGTGAGAGCAGCATGAGGAGAGAGAGAGAGAGAAGGAGGGAGCAGGTGGGAGTGGAGGAGAGGCACGGTCTTGTCCGACACCGCACTATTTGCCAAATCGACAAGTTCCACTCTGACACCAAGGCAAAGTTCAGGGGAGCAAGTCTTCTCCTGCACCAATCCCAGCAGCCTCAGCCTTCCTCCATCTTTACTATGGCCGCCGTTGCCTCATTTCTAACCCCCACTGTCCCCCGCCCGCTCTGCGCTCTCTCTCTCTCTACCCCTCGCTCTACTTGCATAATGCCACCTTGGCAGAGGATGGCAAAGAGAGGACACACAGCTTCAGAATCCCTCCAGACCCCACCAGCGGCAGCTGCTCATGGGTTTACCACAGCAAACAAAGAGGCAGAAACAAACCAGCCACACTGTGCCCGCACACACCAGTGATGAGACCATTAGAGCCACATGATAGGGACTGCTCAAGGCAGAATGGTCACCCAGTCGCCTCAGCTCTACTCTACACAGCAATGCAGTCTCCCTCTCCAAACCAACCTACATTTACTCCACAACTCCCGTCGGGATTTGGCGTTAGCTCTGTCACTGGCTGCCATGTTGCTTCATCGAAGAAGTCTGTCATTCATGGATGCACCTGCTCTGCAGACAGTCTCCATGGCTAGTCTGAAAGCCCTGCACCGCACATTCACTCACAATGATCAAACTGCAACAGACAATAATGAAAAACAATGCCAAAAAATTACAACGCATGGGAAAAAACATTCTTAGAGAGAACTCTGTCAACAAACAGAAGACAAAATTAGATCAAACCCACAACTACGCCTATAAGAAATATTTCTCAAAATGCAAATGCCCAAAATGTATCAGTTAATTATTAATTTGGGACATAATTCTGCAGACTCAAGCATAAGGCACTTAAACAGAAAGACATCACTCTCTCTCTCTCTCTGTGTGTGTGTCTCTCTCTCTCTCCATAGTGCTCGTTCATGCTCAAGTTCAAATCATCAATCCACTTCACTTCATCCTGGAGCCATGGAGGCAGCGCAGCCTAATGAAACACTGACTGTGCCCCATCATGTGTTCCACTGCACTGAGGAGAGCACACCTCTACATTCAGCCCCAGTCACTGTGAGAGTCATTGAGCGCTGCCAAACTCTGATATATGATTAGATAATGGAGGTAGCCAATAAACTAAAAGAGGAGGCAGTGTTCATTGTGATGCGTAAGAGACTGAAAGGTAGCCTCTGAGTCAAATATTTCGGCTTCAATCACCACCTGCAGTACAGAAATCTTAGGAGGCGATAACTGGCACTTCAATGTGATTCACTGCGCTGCTTTTCAATAAAAATCAAGCGTCACTGAGGTCGCCATGCCAAAATGCAAATGCGCCACTATTCACATGTCGCCCGAATTTGACTACAAGGGGGTTTAAGTCATTCTCCTTAGCTATGGTCGCATCAGGGAGAAAACCATATGATATTTTGTTGCAATAACTGCTATGCACATAATTTCTTGCCAAATATGAAACAAATGCAGCGTTTAAATCCCCTGCGCGGGAACACAACATTAGCATGTCTGTATTATCTGTTTGCTAGTTAAAGCAGTATTTTCTATTATCAAAGCGATACAAGGTCATAATCAAACATATCTTAAACTTCAGCTGCTTACCTGTGCCTTTTAATTGGGTTCACTAACAAATGCAGTTTGTTTTTACAGTTTTTTCCTCACACGTGAAGCTAAAGGTCCAAGGAAATGCGCCTTTGCACAAGCTGCGTGAGCGCCATGTGCAAAGGCGCACTTTCTGCGTACAAGGCCTTCAAAAGTGAAACCCGTGTTCCCTCAAGGCGTCACGCTTTTAGGCCGAAAATATCATCAAATATTATTTCCCACAAACGGCTCTTTTCCTCAGTCATTCATTCAAATCCGTTATTATGACGAAAAACTCAAGTAAAACAATTAAAACGCACCAGGACCTCTTCTTCCACAAGGCGCTTCAAATGAATAGTTGAAAAGAGAACAAAAATACGTAAAGGGCTGCCAAAAGTAAGTGAATACGATAAAACACGTAAAAAAAAAAGAGTGGAAAAAGAAAGAAAGGGAGCTGGCTTTGCAGGAGAAAGTTAAACACTCGCTACCAATTAATAACGCGACATTAGACACAGGAATGACGCAGACAAATAAAATGTAAATAAAATGAAAATAAATAATAGCCTACTTCCCCTTTTTGTTGGCATACTTAAACTGTGTATTTATGTGTGGCATAAATTCAACTGTGGGCCCAAATAATTCTTAATATTCCTGAAATGAACGCCCGCCCGTAGCGTGATCTCATTTTTCAAATTCGTTTACGTTCATTATATCCGCCGCACTGCTGTTAAGCTAATTATAAGCCGTCTATAACGAGACAAAAGAAATGATTTTCAAGTCCTTTATATTTCCATTCTCTGCACGTCTGACCGAGACTGTGGAGTTGGCTGCCAACTTCAGCTTAACTCTTTCAGTCGGGGAGAAAAGACCCTGAAAATCACAGGCGTTTGCATCTCCGTTTCAACACGCGCGCTCTACGCCATCCAAACGCCTGATATTATTCAATGACATGACTAATGAATACTGTACACGTAAAAATAAAACAAATTACATTTATATTACTACATTTATATTTGTAGGCTTTGTGCTTTATATAATAATTGAAAAATTATCATTTCCCCATCTCTTCCTAAAAAGAGGATTTATTTGTTCCTGTAAACCAGCTAACATGTATTTATTAGACTACATAATTTAGGCTGTTTGTTTTTTGCGATTGGGTTGTTTAAATATGTTAAAAGGATGAAAACATATCTGAAGGAGGTCAAAGCACTACATCCAAACTAAATGCATCAAATAAAAGATGTGTTAATTAAAGTTTTATCAATGAGTGTTTTTAGGGAGCAACCTTGTTTGGCACAAATGAACGTTTTACCTCAAAAACAAACTCAACAATCAAATCACTTAAATGTCACATCTTTTCATTTCTCAAAAACACACCTGCACCTTTCTGTTGTTGGGTTTACCCACAAGGAGCTTGGTTTGAGTGACTATGATCACGCTGATGCCAGGCCATGCTCAAAAAGATCATCCCAGTAACTAATGTATCAATTTTCAATTAAAAAATGTGTTTAGCCTTTGTTTGCTTATGAAAAGGAACAAATAAGTTACAAAAGACCACTAAAATATTTCAGAATACTTTTTAACTAGGCTATAGAGAATTCAATTGCATCTGATTGTGGTTTGTGCATAAGTGCTATA